TATTCATTATTTATGGCACCGATCCTCCCGAATTCCATTATGAAACCAATTCTACATCATTACGACTTAAGAACGAACGATTGAAATATTTGGCAAAGAAAATATTCATTCTTTATAAAGAAACTCATTGAATGTTCTGTTACACAAGAAAGAGCTATGCAAGACGGCCATGAAACAGATTGTGCTAAAAGCCTAAATACTATCAAATAAAAAGCGTTACCTTTTATCAGAAAAACCATCTTCAAGAATTTTTCGGCATATTTATTGTAACCTGCGACGAATATGAACGGTGTTGCACTCCTAAACGATTCAAAAAACCCATATTTATTTGATTTTCAAAACATTATAGCCCTGTTAAATAGAAGATCCTTTCACACTTTTCAATTTAACATAGGTGACAATAATTCGCGAGCAAACACGTAACTCGATAACATTTTGCACTTTCCAGACGAGATCACGATAGTTTAAGGAAGCATATCATTTATTCAGAAGCGTCTGGAAAAAAGGACCCCGAATAGTATCCTTTATTACTTTGCTGCTTTTGTGTCACAAAATAACTTTTACTAAGGATACTATATAGATTTATAGATAAGCATAAAAAAGAGCATTCAAAATGAGCTGAGTTTCTATTATCGAGAGGCTATTAAAGAATGATATTCGAAACATCTTTACAAAATAGTGAAAAACAGCATATCAATAAACGTTCGAAAAATGCTGAAAAGAAGGAGGTAGAATGAATTTTAAAAAGTGACGAGGAAAAAATGACACTTTAAGGGTTAATCGAAGAGATTTTGAAAATTTTTAAAAAGCTTCAAGTAAAAAGTATTACTTAGTTATAGGATGCTGTCATAAGATGAGAGTTATCAATTCCCTGGCTGTGACAAATAAAAACCTTCAATAGTTTTAGAAAATGAGAAAGAAAAAATTAAAAAGAGCCAGATTGGAAATTTGAAACTTAAAAAATTTAGAGCTAAATTTTTTCAGAATGGATATAAGGAAGTATTTTAAAATTTAGATCTAATTTTTGGCCCCCTGGAAAAAAAAAAGAAACAAAGAAAAGAAAGAAATAGTTTGGAATTAGGAAAAAGTAAACTACACTGGGTCAGAAATTAAGAAAATGAGAAAAAGAAAAATATTTGGTTAAGGAAAAGAAAAGAAAGGGAATTAGCTTATTGGTAGAAAGAGAAAAACAAGAAGAAAGATGAAATGTGTGGAATGATGACAGAAAGATTCTTCAAAAGATAAGAAATAAGTGTAAAAGAGAGAGGGAAGAAAATAGGGACAAAAGAAAGAGATGCCTGAATATCGTAAAAAGAGAAAATAAAAGGATCGATGCCCGGATTCTCCAATGTAATTAGACTTGATAAATTTGGTCTTTCGTTATTAAAAAAGAAAAGGAACAACCTAGTGAATCCTTAAAAATATATTATTTATTTTTTTTAAAAAATGAAAAAAGCAAAGGAAGAGAGGAATAAATGAGGAAAAAAAAAAATTCACACCAGAGGAATGAAAAAGGAAAGAAAAAACAACATTCTCCAATAATTGTACAAAAACCTCCCCAGATAACTGTCTTCTAGATAGATAGGTATATATATAGATAGATAGATAGACTAGATAGGATGGATAGATAATTGGTAGATAGACAGATGATATAGACGAAGATAGATAAAGGATAGAATATGATAAGAAATTCAAAGATAGACAGATAGATAGAGAGATAGACAGAAGTAGAAAGATTAGATAGATAAAGATAGATAAAATCGACATCACTAGTATAGATAAATAGATAGATTTGTGAATAGATAAATTAATGGATGATGAGATAGATGTGACTGGCCACAGATAGATGCCCGGATTCTCCAATGATTTTTGATAACTTGAGATTTCAAGATAGATAGATAGAAAACAAAATATGTAGATAGATATTTTTAAATCCTTGAAAATAATAGAATAGATAGATAAGATAGATATAAAAAGGAGACAGATAAGAAGAGATAGATAGATAGATAGACAGATAGATAGATAGATAGATAGATCAGGTGAGATAGATAGAGAGATAAAATGATTTTAGATAGATAGATGGAGTATAGATAGATAGATAGATAGATAGATAGATAGATAGATAGATAGATAGATAGATAGGAAAATAGAATAGATCTGAAGACGATAGATAGATAGATAGATAGATAGATAGATAGACAGATAGATAGATAGACAGACAGATAGATAGATAGATAGATAGAATAAGATAGATAGATAGATAGATAGATATAGATAGATAGATAGATAAATAGATAGATAGATAGAAAGATAGAGCGATTGAAGAGAACAGACTGAGGTACCGATAGATAGATAGATAGATAGAGATAGATAGATAGATAGATAGATAGAACAGACTGACAGATAGATAGATAGAGAATAGACAGAATTAGATAAAAAAGACGCAGGATAGATAGATAGATAGATAGATAGACAGATAGATAGATAGATTTTTATTAAGAGATAAGTATTCGAAAGGGAGAGCGGGGAATTAGCTCAATTGGTAGAGCGCTCGCTTTGCATGCGAGAGGTACCGGGATCGATGCCCGGATTCTCCAATGTAATTTTACAAGATTTGCCAAAACAGCCGACAATAAACGTTCGAGAATTACGGTGTAAATCTTCAGAGGTAGAAACTTACTTTATATACTGTGTAGTGTTCGAGGAAACGTCATGCACTTTCGGTTAACCAAGAGATTTGTGAACGGGGAATTAGCTCAAGTGGTAGAGCGCTCGCTTAGCATGTGAGAGGTACCGGGATCGATACCCGGATTCTCCAATGCTTTTGTACAACTTGTATTCTTTCAACTGTCTTTAGCATAAGATAAGTATTCGAAAGGGAGAGCGGGGAATTAGCTCAATTGGTAGAGCGCTCGCTTTGCATGCGAGAGGTACCGGGATCGATGCCCGGATTCTCCAATGTAATTTTACAAGATTTGCCAAAACAGCCGACAATAAACGTTCGAGAATTACGGTGTAAATCTTCAGAGGTAGAAACTTACTTTATATACTGTGTAGTGTTCGAGGAAACGTCATGCACTTTCGGTTAACCAAGAGATTTGTGAACGGGGAATTAGCTCAAGTGGTAGAGCGCTCGCTTAGCATGTGAGAGGTACCGGGATCGATACCCGGATTCTCCAATGCTTTTGTACAACTTGTATTCTTTCAACTGTCTTTAGCATAAGATAAGTATTCGAAAGGGAGAGCGGGGAATTAGCTCAATTGGTAGAGCGCTCGCTTTGCATGCGAGAGGTACCGGGATCGATGCCCGGATTCTCCAATGTAATTTTACAAGATTTGCCAAAACAGCCGACAATAAACGTTCGAGAATTACGGTGTAAATCTTCAGAGGTAGAAACTTACTTTATATACTGTGTAGTGTTCGAGGAAACGTCATGCACTTTCGGTTAACCAAGAGATTTGTGAACGGGGAATTAGCTCAAGTGGTAGAGCGCTCGCTTAGCATGTGAGAGGTACCGGGATCGATACCCGGATTCTCCAATGCTTTTGTACAACTTGTATTCTTTCAACTGTCTTTAGCATAAGATAAGTATTCGAAAGGGAGAGCGAGGGAATTAGCTCAATTGGTAGAGCGCGTTCGAGAATTACGGTGTAAATCTTCAGAGGTAGAAACTTTGCATGCGAGAGGTACCGGATCGATGCCCGGATTCTCCAATGTAATTTTTACAAGATTTGCCAAAACAGCCGACAATAAACGTTCGAGAATTACGGTGTAAATCTTCAGAGGTAGAAACTTACTTTATATACTGTGTAGTGTTCGAGGAAACGTCATGCACTTTCGGTTAACCAAGAGATTTGTGAACGGGGAATTAGCTCAAGTGGTAGAGCTCGCTTAGCATGTGAGAGAGGTACATGTGAGAGGTACCGGGATCGATACCCGGATTCTCCAATGCTTTTGTACAACTTGTATTCTTTTTCAACTGTCTTTAGCATAAGATAAGTATTCGAAAGGGAGAGGGGAATTAGCTCAATTGGTAGAGCGCTCGCTTTGCATGCGAGAGGTACCGGGATCGATGCCCGGATTCTCCAATGTAATTTTACAAGATTTGCCAAAACAGCCGACAATAAACGTTCGAGAATTACGGTGTAAATCTTCAGAGGTAGAAACTTACTTTATATACTGTGTAGTGTTCGAGGAAACGTCATGCACTTTCGGTTAAAAGATTTGTGAACGGGGAATTAGCTCAAGTGGTAGAGCGCTCGCTTAGCATGTGAGAGGTACCGGGATCGATACCCGGATTCTCCAATGCTTTTGTACAACTTGTATTCTTTCAACTGTCTTTAGCATAAGATAAGTATTCGAAAGGGAGAGCGGGAATTAGCTCAATTGGTAGAGCGCTCGCTTTGCATGCGAGAGGTACCGGGATCGATGCCCGGATTCTCCAATGTAATTTTACAAGATTTGCCAAAACAGCCGACAATAAACGTTCGAGAATTACGGTGTAAATCTTCAGAGGTAGAAACTTACTTTATATACTGTGTAGTGTTCGAGGAAACGTCATGCACTTTCGGTTAACCAAGAGATTTGTGAACGGGGAATTAGCTCAAGTGGTAGAGCGCTCGCTTAGCATGTGAGAGGTACCGGGATCGATACCCGGATTCTCCAATGCTTTTGTACAACTTGTATTCTTTCAACTGTCTTTAGCATAAGATAAGTATTCGAAAGGGAGATAGCGGGGAATTAGCTCAATTGGTAGAGCGCTCGCTTTGCATGCGAGAGGTACCGGGATCGATGCCCGGATTCTCCAATGTAATTTTACAAGATTTGCCAAAACAGCCGACAATAAACGTTCGAGAATTACGGTGTAAATCTTCAGAGGTAGAAACTTACTTTATATACTGTGTAGTGTTCGAGGAAACGTCATGCACTTTCGGTTAACCAAGAGATTTGTGAACGGGGAATTAGCTCAAGTGGTAGAGCGCTCGCTTAGCATGTGAGAGGTACCGGGATCGATACCCGGATTCTCCAATGCTTTTGTACAACTTGTATTCTTTCAACTGTCTTTAGCATAAGATAAGTATTCGAAAGGGAGAGCGGGGAATTAGCTCAATTGGTAGAGCGCTCGCTTTGCATGCGAGAGGTACCGGGATCGATGCCCGGATTCTCCAATGTAATTTTACAAGATTTGCCAAAACAGCCGACAATAAACGTTCGAGAATTACGGTGTAAATCTTCAGAGGTAGAAACTTACTTTATATACTGTGTAGTGTTCGAGGAAACGTCATGCACTTTCGGTTAACCAAGAGATTTGTGAACGGGGAATTAGCTCAAGTGGTAGAGCGCTCGCTTAGCATGTGAGAGGTACCGGGATCGATACCCGGATTCTCCAATGCTTTTGTACAACTTGTATTCTTTCAACTGTCTTTAGCATAAGATAAGTATTCGAAAGGGAGAGCGGGGAATTAGCTCAATTGGTAGAGCGCTCGCTTTGCATGCGAGAGGTACCGGGATCGATGCCCGGATTCTCCAATGTAATTTTACAAGATTTGCCAAAACAGCCGACAATAAACGTTCGAGAATTACGGTGTAAATCTTCAGAGGTAGAAACTTACTTTATATACTGTGTAGTGTTCGAGGAAACGTCATGCACTTTCGGTTAACCAAGAGATTTGTGAACGGGGAATTAGCTCAAGTGGTAGAGCGCTCGCTTAGCATGTGAGAGGTACCGGGATCGATACCCGGATTCTCCAATGCTTTTGTACAACTTGTATTCTTTCAACTGTCTTTAGCATAAGATAAGTATTCGAAAGGGAGAGCGGGGAATTAGCTCAATTGGTAGAGCGCTCGCTTTGCATGCGAGAGGTACCGGGATCGATGCCCGGATTCTCCAATGTAATTTTACAAGATTTGCCAAAACAGCCGACAATAAACGTTCGAGAATTACGGTGTAAATCTTCAGAGGTAGAAACTTACTTTATATACTGTGTAGTGTTCGAGGAAACGTCATGCACTTTCGGTTAACCAAGAGATTTGTGAACGGGGAATTAGCTCAAGTGGTAGAGCGCTCGCTTAGCATGTGAGAGGTACCGGGATCGATACCCGGATTCTCCAATGCTTTTGTACAACTTGTATTCTTTCAACTGTCTTTAGCATAAGATAAGTATTCGAAAGGGAGAGCGGGGAATTAGCTCAATTGGTAGAGCGCTCGCTTTGCATGCGAGAGGTACCGGGATCGATGCCCGGATTCTCCAATGTAATTTTACAAGATTTGCCAAAACAGCCGACAATAAACGTTCGAGAATTACGGTGTAAATCTTCAGAGGTAGAAACTTACTTTATATACTGTGTAGTGTTCGAGGAAACGTCATGCACTTTCGGTTAACCAAGAGATTTGTGAACGGGGAATTAGCTCAAGTGGTAGAGCGCTCGCTTAGCATGTGAGAGGTACCGGGATCGATACCCGGATTCTCCAATGCTTTTGTACAACTTGTATTCTTTCAACTGTCTTTAGCATAAGATAAGTATTCGAAAGGGAGAGCGGGGAATTAGCTCAATTGGTAGAGCGCTCGCTTTGCATGCGAGAGGTACCGGGATCGATGCCCGGATTCTCCAATGTAATTTTACAAGATTTGCCAAAACAGCCGACAATAAACGTTCGAGAATTACGGTGTAAATCTTCAGAGGTAGAAACTTACTTTATATACTGTGTAGTGTTCGAGGAAACGTCATGCACTTTCGGTTAACCAAGAGATTTGTGAACGGGGAATTAGCTCAATGGTAGAGCGCTCGCTTAGCATGTGAGAGTAGGATCGATACCCGGATTCTCCAATGACAACTTATTCTTTCAACTGTCTTTAGCATAAGATAAGTATTCGAAAGGAGAGCGGGAATTAGCTCAATTGGTAGAGCGCTCGCTTTGCATGCGAGAGGTACCGGGATCGAACCCGGATTCTCCAAATGTAATTTTACAAGATTTGTAAAACAACTAAACGTTCGAGTTATTTTTCAACTTACTTTATATACTTGTAGTGTTAAGATAAGCATTCGAAAACCAAGGGAGATTTGTGAACGGGGAATTAGCTCAATTGGTAGAGCGCTCGCTTTGCATGTGCGAGAGGTACCGGGATCGATGCCCGGATTCTCCAATGTAATTTTACAAGATTTTCTTTCAAACAGTCTTTAATAAACGTTCGAGAATTACGGTGTAAATTAGCTCAAGGTGGTAGAACTTACTTTATATACTTGTATGTTCGAGGAAACGTCATGCCGGGATTAACCAAGAGATTTGTCGGGGAATTAGCTAATTTTAGAAGATTTGCTTAGCAACAGAGGACAATCGAACGTTCGGATTCTCCAAAATTTTTGTACAACTTGTATTCTTTCAACTGTCTTTAGCATAAGATAAGTATTTCGAAAAGAGAGAGAACGGGGAATTAGCTCAATTGGTAGAGCGCTCGCTTTGCATGCGAGAGGTACCGGGATCGATGCCCGGATTCTCCAATGTAATTTTACAAGATTTGCCAAAACAGCCGACAATAAACGTTCGAGAATTACGGTGTAAAATCTTCAGAGGTAGAAACTTACTTTATATACTGTGTAGTGTTCGAGGAAACGTCATGCACTTTCGGTTAACCAATTTTACAAGATTTGTGAACGGGGAATTAAACTCAAGTCGAGGTAGAGCGCTCGCTTAGCATGTGAGAGGTACCGGGATCGATACCCGGATTCTCCAATGCTTTTGTACAACTGTATTCTTTCAACTGTCTTTAGCATAAGATAAGTATTCGAAAGGGAGAACGGGGAATTAGCTCAATTGGTAGAGCGCTCGCTTTGCATGCGAAGGTACCGGGATCGATGCCCGGATTCTCCAATGTAATTTTACAACAAAACAGCCGACAATAAACGTTCTTCGCTTCGATTCAACCAAGTTTGCCAAAACAGCCGACAATAAACGTGAATTAGCTCAAGTGGTAGAGCGCTCGCTTAGCATAAGGTATATTCTCCAATGCTTTTGTAATAAGATAAGTATTCGAAAGGGAGAGCGGGGAATTAGCTCAATTGGTAGAGCGCTCGCTTTGCATGCGAGAGGTACCGGGATCGATGCCCGGATTCTCCAATGTAATTTTACAAGATTTGCCAAAACAGCCGACAATAAACGTTCGAGAATTACGGTGTAAATCTTCAGAGGTAGAAACTTACTTTATATACTGTGTAGTGTTCGAGGAAACGTCATGCACTTTCGGTTAACCAAGAGATTTGTGAACGGGGAATTAGCTCAAGTGGTAGAGCGCTCGCTTAGCATGTGAGAGGTACCGGGATCGATACCCGGATTCTCCAATGCTTTTGTACAACTTGTATTCTTTCAACTGTCTTTAGCATAAGATAAGTATTCGAAAGGGAGAGCGGAATTAGCTCAATTGGTAGAGCGCTCGCTTTGCATGCGAGAGGTACCGGGATCGATGCCCGGATTCTCCAATGTAATTTTACAAGATTTGCCAAAACAGCCGACAATAAACGTTCGAGAATTACGTGTAAAAATCTTCAGAGGTAGAAACTTACTTTATATACTGTGTAGTGTTCGAGGAAACGTCATGCACTTTCGGTTAACCAAGAGATTTGTGAACGGGGAATTAGCTCACAATAAACGTTAGCATGTGAGAGGTACCGGGATCGATACCCGGATTCTCCAATGCTTTTGTACAACTTATTCTTTCAACTTCTTTATATAAGATAAGTATTCGTGTTTAGCTCAATTGGTAACGTCATTTGCATGCGAGAGGTACCGTTATTCTCCAATGTAATTTTACAAGATTTGCCAAAACAGCCGACAATAAACGTTCGGGAATTAGCTCAAGAGGTAGAAACGCTCGCTTACATGTGTAGTGTTCCGAGAAACGTCATGCACTCCAATTAACCAAGATTTGTGAACGGGGATTAGCTCAAACAGATTTAGCAATAGCTTATAACATAAATCTTCAGAGGATTACTTTATATACTGTGTATGTTCCAAAACGTCATGCACTTTCGTTACAACTTTGTGAACTTTAGCTCAAACTGTCTTTAGCATGTGAGAGGTAAGATCGATACCCGGATTCTCCAATGCTTTTGTAGAACTTGTATTCTTTCAACTGTCTTTAGCATAAGATAAGTATTCGAAAGGAGAGCGCGGGAATTAGCTCAATTGGTAGAGCGCTCGCTTTGCATGCGAGAGGTACCGGGATCGATGCCCGGATTCTCCAATGTAATTTTACAAGATTTGCCAAAACAGCCGACAATAAACGTTCGAGAATTACGGTGTAAATCTTCAGAGGTAGAAACTTACTTTATATACTGTGTAGTGTTCGAGGAAACGTCATGCACTTTCGGTTAACCAAGAGATTTGTGAACGGGGAATTAGCTCAAGTGGTAGAGCGCTCGCTTAGCATGTGAGAGGTACCGGGATCGATACCCGGATTCTCCAATGCTTTTGTACAACTTGTATTCTTTCAACTGTCTTCAACAGATAGATAAAGATAGATAGATAGATAGATAGATAGAAAGTATTCGAAATTAAAATCAATTGGTAGAAAGCTAGATGAAGAAACGAATAAATCGATGTGATAGTTCTCAATGTAATTTTAGATAGATAGATAGATACAATAAACGTTCGAAAAGACAGAGATCAATAGATAGATAGATACTGTGTGATTCGAGGAAACGTCATAGATAGAGATTTGTGAACGGGATAGATAACATAGATAAATAGATAGACAGGATCGATAAATAGATTTTTACAAAGGGTCTTTCAAGATAGATTAGCATAAGATAGATATATATATAGATAGATATAGATAAGATTAGATAATTGATAGATAGATAGATAGATAGATACCGGATCGATAGGATTCTCAATGTAATTTTGAAAGATTTGCCAAAACAGCCGACAATAAACGTTCGAGAATTACGGTGAAATAGATAGATAAAACTAGATATATAGATAGATAGATAAACGTCATGCATTTCGGTTAACCAAGATTAGATCAATAGGTAGATAGATAGATGTGAGAGGTAGGATCGATAGATTCTCCAATGCTTTTGTACACAGGAACTGTCTTTAGATAAGATAAGATATATATATATATATAGATATATATAGATAGATAGATAGATTCGAAAATTAAGAATAGAGCGCTCGTTTTCATACGAATAGAATAGGATCGATAGGATTCTCAATGTAATTTTATTTTGAAACAGACAATAAACGTTCGAGAAGATAAATCTTCAGAGGTAGAAACTTACTTTATATACTGTGGAAATGATGCACTTTCGGTTAGAAGAGATTTGTGAACGGGGAGAAGCTCAAGTGGTAAGATAGCATGTGAGAGGTACCGGGATCGATATATATTCTCCAATGCTTTTATATATATAATTCTTTCATATTTAGCATAAGATAAGTATATATATATAGATAGAGATATGATTCGAAAAAGGATTAGCTAGGTAGAGCCCTGCTTTGCACGATTGATGCTCCGGGATCGATGCCCGATTCTCCAATGTAATTTTAGATAGAAAAGATAGAATAAACGTTCGAGAATTATAAATGAAATCTTCAGAGGTAGACTTACTTTATATATAGAGTGTTAGAAACGTCATGCACTAGTTAGAAGAGATTTGTGAAAGAATTAGCTCAGAAATCAAACGCTTAGCATGTGAGAGAGGATAGATATCGATAGATAGATAGATAGATCTTTCAACTGTCTTTAGCTAAATATAAGTATAGATAGATAGATAGATAGATAGATAGATTAAGACATAAATATTTAAACGATTAAATTTAAACAAACGTTTACCAATATCTATTAGATAATTTTTAGATAGATAAATTCTATTGATTTGTTTGTCTGTCTAAAAGGGTCCCATAAGACAAGGAAGATTACACACAAATGGACAGAGATTATGTATAGAAAATTTAGAAATAATATTATAAGGAATTTAAACCATAAATTTATATACTGGAACAGATTTCCTTCTATATATTGATAGATAGATATATAATAGTTAAGAATTGTTTTAGATAGACATAACAAGACCAACATTTAAACGAATGTCGTTATATAATTCATACAAATGGATATATATATAGATAGTGTGTGCGTGTAAAACAGAAGATATTACGGAAAATTGAAATACAAAAATTTATTTTTATATATATATATATTTATATATATGTAATGTGTACGATAAATAATACAATATGTGATTTTTATATGAAACATAATATTCCCCGCCAAAAGCTAGATTATTTTAGAAACTCAATTTAGAAGTCTTATAAAATAAATTTTGATAAAATAAAAGATTTTTTATGTCTTGATAATTATATATAAAATATATATATATAAATATATTTATATAAATAGATAAAATATATAAATGTGAGGATTTGATTTTTGATTTTTATTAAAACTGCTATTAATTCCCGCAAAAGATGATCAATGCAGATAACGACATTTTTAAACTATAGATATACAGTATGATACTGAAAAATAACACTTATATTTTAAAATTTGCAACTCTTGTGAGAAATTTATATATAATAACATTATAATATATATATATATTTCATGTATTTATGAAGGAAAGGTTTATGAATGGATTAAAATAAACAATAGATATTTAAGGATTATTAACAATGAAATGTTTGGAGTTATATATATATATATATATATATATACAATACATATATTATGGTTTTCATTACATATGAATGAACAATAATTAAATTTCCGAATATCTAGAAATCTTTTTTTATCTGCCATCATTCTAAATTAAATAAAAGTAAACACTTACCCATATTTATATCATATAATACATTAAGAAAGAATTTTGAAATTTAAATATATATATATTTGAAAATTTTAAGATAAATTTGGTGTTCCTGTGTAATTATGGCTTTCCTTTTAGACTTATCCTATAAAGTTATTTTAAATAACGAAATGTAACAAATATTAGTAAATTGTTCAGACTGGAGATCCACATTTATTTTGTATATCATTTTGATATTCAGTCATTTTTATTGATTGTTTTTGGCATTTTTTATATAGAATTGACAATTAATTTTACTGGAAACTTAAGGCAAAAATTTAAAATGATCCTTCGGTAAAAAAAGTTCCGCAGCATTATCTAAGGATTATTTTGAAACAAAGAATCTAACTTAATTTCAGGTATTTATAAGTATGCAGAAAAATGATAGAGGGCCATTTTTATGAATTTGATGGAACCAGATATAAATTTATAGTTAGACTAAGAGTGAGAATAATAGATATGTAAAAAATATTATATATTACATATACGGATTGATTTAAAAAACATGAAAAAAGAAATACAAATATCATATCTATATATTAATTTATATTTAAATTTGAGGCTTCATTTATAAATAAATATTATATTTATTAAATTTTTTAAATTTAGAAATATTTAAATTAAAAAGTGGCCCTGCCTTATTTTAAAAAAATATTTATACCAAAAAGAAATGTGATATTTAAAAATGTAAAAATAAATTTTTAGCAATTTTTTTTCCCAAGAAGAAAGACAATATAAAAAAAATTCTTAATTTAAAAAATGAAAACCAAATTAAAAATATAAGAAAAGTTTTTAAATAGGTATATTGATGAAAAAATTTATTTTTTCTTTTTAAAATTCATTTTAAAAAAACATAAGGTTGGTTCAAATAAATTATATATAAATATACAATATATATATTTTTAGTGTATTTGTATATAAATTTATATCGATTCTATTAAGAAATTTATTCAACTAACTAATGCGATTTATTTGAGATATTTTGTAAAGAGGGCTATAAACAAACAACAGAATAAAGCAATTTTTTTATTTGTTATTCAATTTTTATGTATTTTTCAATAGATATTTAAAGATTGATATAATTTAATAATTTACCATATATCCTTAAAATAGATATCACAAAAAAAAGATGTTTTATATTTAAAAAAAAAATTAAATAAAATATATTATAAGAAATCCTGAAAATAATATACATAAAACATAGAACAATAAATAGATAGATTAAGAATTAGAATATTTAAAAATAAGATAGAATTTCATGAAATAGAAGATAAATTCATAAAAAATATTGCCAAATTCCTTTATTTTGAATTTGTGATTTTATATCCCAAATATTTGAATTTATTCCAAATTAATTTTTATATAGATATATAGTAGCCAAATTAACCCTTTAGATAATTATAATAATAAAGGTGAATTAGATATATAGATAAATATATAGTGTAGATATTGTGAGACACAAATTTTAACTGATTGCCCGATTTTTAAAAATAATAAAGATGTTGAATGTTTATTATTGATTGATCGATATTATAAATATATTATATTGATAATTATAGAAATCCTACAGACATTTTTAGACTTGTATGGAAAAATACATCAAATTTAAAAACAGAATGTCGGGATATCAAATAAATATGAAAATATATATAAGAAAATTAATAGATTGATAAATTTACTGAAGTATATTCGAGAGATAAATGAAAGACATATTTTTATATTTATATTAAAATCTTAGTTTATGGTTTAATTGAATTACCTATATATATTCAGATATTCTTAAAATTCATTATTTTTTGTATATAGAAAGATATTGTTTTAAAATAATTCAAATATATTTATAAAGATAAAAATTAGTGACATATCAATTGTGTATGAATTATAATTTGTAAGACACCATGTACTTATCCATGAAATTCGCAGGTGAAAAATTTTGTTTTTATATAGAAAACCAAATTTTAACCAAAAAAATTTTATAAAAAAAATATGGTTAATTAAAATTTGATATTAAGGAATTTTCAATTCTATATTTGATAAAGACAGTTTATGTATTGTGATAGATTATGGATTTTAGAAAAGAGAAATTGTAAATTCACTAAATTTTAAATCATTTTTAAAAAAGCTAATAGATAGATAATAAAAATAAGAATTAAATAAAATTAATACAAAAAAATGATAAATTCCCATATAAATAAAATCTAATAGAGATTTTAAATTTTTATTAATATATATATATGGTCCAGTTGAATGTTTTTTAACATGTTATATTTATATATATATATCAATATATATACTTAAAAATATATTATATAAGAATATAAAAAGATATACTATGGATATATATAAGAGAAAAATGGGATATAAAATTTTTAGGCAAAATATGTTCTGTTTAATTATATAAACACTAGTTATATTGATGATATAACGGATTCATATAAGATATATATATATAAGGATAACTCCATTGATTATAATTTTAATTTAAATATATAGGGATGAAATATAAATATCATTGTATTTAATTTATCATAACTGTTCCATTTTAATTTTTCCAAAATAGTAACTAAAACATGATGGTTGGAAATTTTTAAATATATTTAAATATTCTAGAATTTTATTCATTAACGAAACGTGAAAAATATATATTGATATATTATATATACAGAAAAAAATTGATAACAAATATTTGAATAACAGTTATTTTTATATATATATAGAGTAATAAGTGTTTGAAGATTTCATTAATTGTAAGAAAATAAAAACCAAGGTGGAAAATTATATGCGAAAGTGTGAGTTTTACTTTATAGATGAGATATATAATTTGGGAGTTATTCAAATATGTAAAAAAAAATTATAGAAAAAACTATGTTGAAACAAAATGGCATTTTAAGGGGTGTTTTTAAGGGGTATTTTGAAATTGAAAAATTTACAAACAAAAAATTATATTTTATCCTTATACAAAAACAACCGTTATATTTCGATATAAAGATAAGTTTAGGACTGTGTGATGGTTTGATGAAATAAAAAAGTTCCGAAATTTCTTTATAATTATAATTACAAGGAAAAATATATTGAAAATATAAAAAGACATAAAGATGTAATTATATTTATATATATATATATATATATATGTCATAATTTTTTTATTTATCGGTAAT